AATAATCCCTTCCCATTTATGGAGAATCGACTTTAACGGACGGAAATTAGTCCGTCGATGAAAGGTTTTGTATGTACTTTGCTTAGCTTTTGTAAAGCTTATCTTCGTATTCCAATGCGTCTTCGTATTTTGGTGACAGATTTTCGTACCACTGTTAAAACAGATATTTAAATTTTTGTACTTGCTTGATTTTGACATCACTAATTCGTATTGTGCAATCCCTCTCGCTAACAACTACCTATATAGACAGATGCGAAAGTCAGTGTGTCACGTTTTGTCATCTTTACTCCTAGAGACGTAGTCCAATATATCATACCATTTTGGAATCAGACCGACTCCGTGAGCAAATTGAAAACATTCCGGCCTGGGTCAGGACTCTCAATCCTGAAATTTTGGATTGCCAAGTTTTTATTACTGCCATTGCTTTCGGCTATTTTTTAGATGATTTTCTGCGACGAAATGTGTGTGCGATAACACTTTTTAAAACTTAGAAATAAATTTGGGAATTATCGAAATTAATTGCGAAATCCAGCGGAAGTCATCCATAAAATAAAAAATAATTGTCTATACTGGAAAGTAAGAACCTACGTACATCAAATTGTCTTTAAATTAAATGGCGGCAGAAGAATTATCGTTGAACTTTCGAAAGGTAAGCTTAAATATTAATGCAATACTTAAATGCAGCGATCAATTTTTTGTTCTTCTGTAGTTTATTGTTGTCTATCGCATACGGCAGCAGTGTGCCTTGCAAAAAGAAATCTCCGCCAACAGAGGACCAGTTTGCAATCAAAAGATCCAAGGTTGCAGCGAGAAAAAGAAAGGCCCGTGCAAATGAAAACCCAGATCAAACGGTAGACAGAAGAGCGTCCAGTGCTGAGAATATGCAAAGACTTAGGGACTCTCAAACTCCTGAAGAAGCCGACGGTCCAATTAAGGATCTAGTTTAAATATCGCCCGATAGGGCTGCTTTTAAGCTTGTATAATATATCTTTTTAAAATTGGTAGTTAGTCCTTTCCTCCTGTTATCCTTTACTAGCTTTTCGAGCAGTTTCTGTATTTTCGTGTCTACCATCAACACGGTGTCATATTTAGCTAAAAGATGGCTTTGTATAAAGGAAGGATAATAATGTTTGACTGAATAATGATTTTATGTGATTTAATACATTCTGGAGATTATTAAGAGTATCATATTTTGCCATGTTTATAAATCAATTATCCAAGAATATGATTTCAGCACTGTATATTCGAATCACATTTTGAATATATTATGGGCACTTTCATACGCCATTTTGTCCACATAGTTACGAACTGACACCTTTCAAAACGCATTCATATTGATATTAAGACTTGAGCGAACACACGTCTACACAGCCGTGCGCGTAGCAGCCACAATCAGCCATCTTCACTTCATTAAAATTTTTTTTCCAATTATGTTGGTCTCTTTGCCTCGTTTATATTTCCTTTTTTTTTCTTCTTAATGTTGTTATCATATAACAATTCACTGCACAAACCCATTAAGAACAACAACAAGAAGAACAATAACAATAAAATTGCACGTCTTTTCGCTATCTTCCCGTTTCTATCGTCACTATCATAAAAGAAAAGAAAATGCAACATTTTTAAAAATTCTTGTTTGCCATTACCTTTGTATTATTGTATCACTTCATTTTTTTTTCCTCTCCGTTTTTTTTTTCCCATCATTCCCAGTGCTACTCTTACATGAGGCCTTTTTTTTAAACAGTCAATAAGCATCGGACAATATGGCCGCCGACTCAATTTTAACGCTATACTCTTGAGGGTTGGTACTTCTTTCCCTCCACTCCGTTTCTGGTATTTGAGTGTTGATGTCTTGGAGGCGAGAGGCTTGTTTGTTATTTCTTCTCATTTTTACCTTTTTGTCACCACCTTCTTTGGGCTCACGTAAAGGCTGATATTTCTTCATATATATATATATGTATATAAAATAAATATAAATATATATATATATATATATATATATATATATATATATATATATATATTTTTTATGAAATAAATATATATATTTTTTTTTGTAACGTACTTTAAAAATATAAATTTCTTTATTTTCTTTTTTTTCGTTTGCCTTTGCTTTCGCATTCGTTCTCTTTAGAACTTTCATTCTTTTCTTTCTTTTTTGATCCTTGGTTTTTCTTCTTACTTTCTTTTTTCCTTTCTATCCACTAAAACGTCTGCCATTATTGGAGCCGATTTCTTGTTTATTCTTACTTTCAATCTCTCTCTCTCTCTCTCTCTCTCTCTCTGTTTAAATTAAAAATTTAAAAATTATCAAAGCAACATCTGCTTTATTTCGATATTCTTTCTTTATTTATTTCTTCATTTTTCAGTCTGCTTTTAAATTTAATTTCTTTCTTTTTGTCTCTTTTTTTCATTATTTCCGTTTTTTAGACTGTTTGATTTTAATATCTTTCTTTCCTTCTTTCATTCTCTTTTCCTTTTTCTCATATTCATTATTATGCCCTTAATTTTTCTTTCTTTCTTTCTTTCTCTTTTCCTTTTTCTAATATTCATTATGATGTTCTTAAATTTTTTTCTTTCTCTTTTCCTTTTTCTCATATTCATTATTATGCCATTAATTTAAGAAATCTTTTCTTTCTTTCTTTTTTCTTTCTTTCTTTCTTTCTTTATCTTTTCCTTTTTCTAATATTAGTTATTATGTTCTTAAATTTTCTTTCTTTCTCTTTTTCTTTTTCTCATATTCATTATTATGCCCTTAATTTTTCTTTCTTTCTTTCTTTCTTTCTTTCTTTCTTTCTTTATCTTTTCCCTTTTTTAATATTCATTATTATGCCCTTAATTTTTCTTTCTTTCTTTCTTTCTTTCTTTCTTTCTTTATCTTTTCCTTTTTCAAATATTCATTATTATGTTCTTAAATTTTTTTTTCTTTACGATTTTTCCTTTTTTCATGTTTTCATTATTATCTTAATTAATTTTTCTTTTTTTTTTTTTTTTTTTTTTCTCATATTCATTATTATTTTTTAGTTTTTCTTTCTTTTTCTTTTTTACTTTCTTTTTTTTCTTTCTCTTTCTTAAAAAAAAATTTTTTTTTTTTCTCACTTTCATTATTATGCCCTTAATTTTTCTTTCTTCCTTTTTCTTTTGCTTTTTAAAGAATTCATTATTAGACATGTTTAATTTTTCATTTCTTTCTTTCTTTTTTCTTTCTTTCTTTCTTTCTCTTTTCTTTTTTTCTAATATTCATTATTATGAAATTTTTTTTTTTTTTTTTTTTTTCTTTCTTTCATCTTTCTTTATCTTTTCCTTTTTTAAATTCATTATTTTCCAATTAATTTTTTTCTTTTTTTTCTTTCTTTCTTTCTTTTCAAACGTTTTATTTTAGAAATTTTTTGAAATATTCATTATTATATTTTAAGTTTTCTTTTTTTTTTTTTCCTTTTTTCTCACTTTCATTATTATGCCTTTTTAATTTTTTTTTTTTTTCTTTTGCTTTTTTCTCACTTTCATTAATTATTTCGCTTTTTTTTCTTTTATTTTTCTTTTTTTCTTTCTAAATTTTTTTTTTTCTTTGATTTCTGTCTTACTTTCTTTCTCTTTTCCTTTTCTCACTTTCATTATTATATTTTCAGAGTTTCTATTTTTTTTTCTTTCTTCATCTTTTCCTCATTATTCTTTCTTTCTTGCCTTCGATTTCTTTCTTCATTTTTTGTCTGTCTTTAAATATAATTTCTTTCTTCCTCTCCGTTTTTAGAGTGTTTTTTCCTTTTAATATATTTCCTCGATGTTCCTTTCTATTTTCTCATTTTCTTTTCTACCACTTTCAATATTACGCCTTCATTTTTTTCTTTCTTTCTATGCTTTTAATTCCTTTCTTTCTTCATCTTTCCTTATTTTCTACTTTCAGTATTACCTCCTTAATTTTTTCTTTCTTTTTTTTCTTCCTTTCTTTATTTATTTCTACTTTCTTTCTTTCTTTGTCATTGTTCGTTATTCTGTCGTTGTCTCTTGTCTTTTTTTATTCCTTAATCTTTTCTTTTAGGTTTTCTTCTCTAAATTTAATTCCGTTTTTTTTTCTTTGAATATTATTTTTAATTCAAATACTTTTACACATTTTCCATTTTCCTATAATCTTACACTTTTGCACGATTTTAATATTTTTCATTCTTTTTTTTATTTCATTTTACATCGATTTAAAACTCGTTTGCTTTTCGCCTTTCTCGTGTTTCTTTTTCATTTCATTCCTTTCTTAATTCTCTTTCGTATCTAATCTTCCTTTGTCTGTGGGATTTTCTTTCCACTTAACCATTCGTGATTATTTGAAATCGACCGGCTTCATATTTCATTCCCTGGACATATTTCATTAACGTCGAGATTCATCAAAAATATTTTCTTTCTTTATTTTTTTCTTTCTACCACCTTCTAATTGTCGTCACGTTTTATATTTTCTTCGTTCACTGATTTCCATCGTTCCTCCTCCTCTTCCTCATTCTTCTTCTTTTGTGTATTATTCACCGTCTTAGAATTTTTTTACCATTTTATTATTCATGTGTATTATATCACATTTCTTGTGTTTACTTTTACTTTTCTTTCATTTTCATCATTACATTTTCCTTTTCTCCCTTTGGTTATCTTTTTCTTTTTGTATTGCTTACATTTCCTTCTCCGTTTCGTCATATATATGCTTCTTTCATTTACTCATTTACTCATTCATATATGCTTCTTTCATATTCTTATTCCTTTCCATCTTTCTTCTTACTTTTGTCTTATGTTTCATTCTTTCTTTCTCATTTGATATTTACCCCTTTCTCCGTTGATTTCTTTGTTTCTTTGCTGTTTCTTTTTTTTCTCCGTTTTTCTCTGTTTCTATCGTTGTTTCTTTCTTTGTTTTTTTTCTTTGTTTCATACTTTCTTTGCTTCTTTACTTTTTTTCGGTTTCTTTCTTTGTTTTTTTCTTTCTCTGTTTCTTTCTTCGTTTCTTTCCTGTTTCTTTCTCCGTTTCTTTCATGGATTTTTTTCTTTGCTTCTTTCTTTCTTTGTTTTTTCTTTGCCTGTTTCCTTCGCTGATTCTTTCTTTGTTTCCTTGTTTCTCTGTTTCTTTCTTTCTGTCTCCGTTTCTTTCTTTCTTTCTTTCTTTCTTTCTTTCTTTCTTTCATTCATTCGCTGTTTCATTCTATGTTTCTTTATCCTTCTTTCTTTCTTTCTCTCTTTCTTTCTTTCTTTCTTTCTTTCTTTCTTTCATTCGCTGTTTCTTCTATCTTTCTTTCTTTCTTTCTTTCATTCCCTATTTCATTCTATGTTTCTTTCCCGTTTCTTTCTTTGTTTCTTTCTTTGTTTCTTTCTTCCTTTCTTTCTTTCTTTCTTTCTCCGTTTCTTCCTCTCTTTCTTTCTTTCTTTCTTTCTTTCATTCGATGTTTCATTCTATATTTCTTTCCCGTTTCTTTACTTTCTTTCTTTCTTTATTTATTTATTTATTGCTTTCTTTATTTTTCTTTCTTTCTTTCTTTCTTTCTTTCTTTCTTTCTTTCTTTCTTTCTTCTTTCTTTCTTTCTTTCTTTCTTTCTTTCATTCGTTGTTTCATTCTATGTTTCTTTCCCGTTTCTTTCTATCTTTATTTCTTTCTTTCTTTTTTGTTTCTTTCATTCGCTGTTTCATTCTATGTTTCTTTCCCGTTTCTTTCTTCCTTTCTTTCTTTCTTTCTTTCTTTCTTTCTCTCTTTCTTTCTTTTTTTCTTTGTTTCATTCGCTGTTTCATTCTATGTTTCTTTCCCGTTTCTTTGTTTGTTTGTTTGTTTGTTTCTTTCTTTCTTTCTTTCTTTCTTTCTTTCTCCGTTTCTTCCTGTTTCTTTCTTTCTTTCGCTGCTTCTTTCTTTGTTTATTTCTCCGTTTCTTACTCAGTTTCTTTCTTTTTTCTTTCTTTCTTTTCCTGTTACTTTCTCTGTATCTTTCTTTGTTTCCTTCTTTGTTTCTTTCTTTTGTTTTTTTCTTTCTCCATCTTGTATTGCATTCTTTTTTTATCTTTCTTTTTAGTATCATTTTATCTTTTATTTTATTTTTTATTCGGATTTTTTCTTCTTCTTTCTTTCTTACTTTCTTTCTTTCTTTTTCTATTCTTCCATCATTGATTTCTTTCTTTCTTTTCTTATTCTTCCATCATTGATTTCTTTCTTTCTTTCTTTCTTTCCTTTCCTATTCTTCCATCATTGATTTCTTTCTTTCTTTCTTTCTTTCTTTCTTTCTTTCTTTCTTTCTTTCATTTTACTTTCATCTTATATTTTATTCTATCTTTTCTTTTCTGATATTTCTTCCTTAATTCTTATTTTTCTTCGAATTTTTTCACTCGCTTTTTTTGTCTCTGTCTTGTTTATGCTCTCTTCTTCTCGCTCTTAATTTTTCATTTCATTTTCTTTACTTTTTAATTCCCCCTCCTTTTTATACCTTTCTATCATAACTCATCTTACATTTTCACTATTAACACGTTCTTTTTCAGAAAGTATTATTATTGATATTATTATTATTATTATTGTTATTGATATTATTATTATTATTATTATTGTTTTTGTTATTATTATTATTATTATTATTTTTATTATTATTATTATTATTACCGTAATCCTTCACTATTTTTTCCTTCCTTGGTCCGAGTCGTTTACGTAGCAACGCTTTCTTTTCTCTCTTTGATTATTCCTGACTTCGGCTTCCATTCAGTCTTCCTCCCTCCCTCCTTTCCTTCCTTCCTTCCTTCCTTCCTTCCTTCCTTCCTTCCTTCCTTCCTTCCTTCCTTCCTTCCTTCCTTCCTTCATCCCTCCCTCCCTTCCTTCCTTCCTTTTTCTCATGATTTGTTTCAGCATTTGTCCAGCCAATATTTTCCGCTAGCTTCAACAATTTAGTTAACAATCTTCGCGTACGTTTTCAATATTACCCTCTCCTTCCGCCCATTCGAGCCACACAGCTTTCCTTCCTTCCTTCCTTCCTTCCTTCCTTCCTTCCTTCCTTCCTTCCTTCCTATCATTCTCTTCACCCTCTCCTCAGTTGTAATTAATTTCATTCTTTTAATACGTGATTGCAATCTTGGCAAAATCGCATCAGCCATATTTGGTCGAAATAACAAGGTGACCAGCGACACAAAGGGGCGAAAATTAAGCTGTCATTATTGGGCAGACTGATCGAACGAGCTCCGTGGGTAGGGGAAAGAAACGGCTAAACAGAAAAAGAGGCTGGGTGGAGAGGTCAGGAAAAGAGGTTTTGGTTGAGATAACGGAAGAAATGAGAGAAAGAAATGAATGCAGAGAGAAAGTGGAAGACGACGACAGAGGCAGTTGAAAGTAATAAAGAAAAGGAGAAAGGAAATTAAATGGAAAATAATCATTTACTTTTTTACTTCATCTTATAACATATATATATATATATATATATTGATTATATATATATATTTATATATATATATATATATATATATTTATATCCAAATCATGATATATTCCTCTAAAATGAATAATATTAACAGAAGCTTTTTTTTTTTTAAACGGTATTATTCCATCCATGATGCTATATAAATGCGAATAGAGAAAAATATAAATATAAATCCATGTTCAAACAATTATTAATAAATAAATATGCAACATATATACAATATTACAGATATATATATATATGAATTATATATGCCATATATTTTATTAATATATATATATTTATATTTATATATATATATAATATGTGTTATATATATTGAAATCAAAAATTTTTCATACCATGTTTGATATTTTGTATTCGCTTTAAAAATATGTTCAAATATATATTTTTGTTTCATGTAAAGATTAATTTTCTCATTGACAGAATGAAGCCTCTCACACACACACACACACACACATAAATATATATATATATATATATATATATATATATATATATATATATTTATAATTTAGAATGTTATTTCATTGACTTTGGGTTTCATGCTATTTTTGTTAAATTTCAGATAAAGTTTGTCTGACGATTGCAGAACGTGAAACCTAGCGTCAACATCTCAATCAATTTTAAATATGAAATTCATATCACTGATATTGATGACACTCCAAAGAATAAATACCGCTCATAAATAATATATAAATATCTAAAATTAATATATATATATATATATATATATATATATATATATATATATATATATATATATTGTTTTATATATATATATATATATATATATATATATATATATATAGTTTTAAAATATAATTGAATTTGTGCCAGAAAAATATATTTTTTATTGGTTCATCACGTCACATCTCTAATTACTATATATATATATCGTTCTCTACATTTTTAGAAATATATACATATTTAAGACATGTTTTATTTTTATGCGTTCTTTTTGTCGATACAAATGTTAAAGTAAATGCTCTGTTTATAATAAACGGTATTAAGGACTTTTACCAGATTGAATGTCCGAGTAATTTTCATAGAAAATATGTGTCCTCACGCAGAAATCGAATCTGTATCCTATACGGAACCATCATACAGCCTGACGTGCTTTGACCCATTGAGCCACAGAGGAGCGTTTCGGTTAGCAAGGTCGATTTTACTGTTTTTAAACTACAATTTTCCATGATTTTCTCTCGTACATTTATATCTGCTCGATGCGCATCCAAATGTAAACAAATGACGTCACACATTATGAAATAGGCAAAGTCCGACAATTATTTAAGACATTTTTATGTTTATACATTCTTTTTTTTATAGATAAAAATATTTAAGTAAATGCTCTGTTCATAATAAACAGTATTAAACAACATTTACCGGCCTGAATGCCCAAGAAATTGTCATAAAAATATGTGTCCTCAGTGAGAAATCGAACCTGTATCCTATAAGATTCAGTCATATAGCCTGACGTGCTTTACCGATTTAGCCACAGAGGAGAGTTTCGGTTAGCAAGGTCGATTTTACTGATTTTTGCTAACGGAAACGCTCCTATGTGGTCAGTACATAGATATCCAACCGCTTGGGAATACCGGATCCTCTAAGCTTGGATGTACGTATTGTAAAATCAATAGCGGATCCGAATTGAAATTGTAGATCAGTGTTCTAATTTAGCCAGGGTACGTTCTACTGAAATGCAAAGGTACTTTTTGGAAAAGTAGGAATTCCCGTTTTCTCCTCCAAGCTATGGGATAGTTAGTATAACGTGTACCAGTCACAAGAATTAATATTTAAAAAAAAAACAAAAAAAACAACAACACAGAAACAAAACATAATTTTTACAATTTAAACATATTGTCCCGTTTTAAATAACCTGTGAAAAGTTGATACGCTGTAAAAAAATCGATCAGTCAATCAATTCCCTTAACCTGACGATCCTTATAGGTGAAACCTAGGTAGGTTTACCTGGCTCTTTAGGTTCATATTTAGGTTTGCTAGCGTATTGAGCACTTTTGATATTTACTTTTGCTTTACTCTTTTTTTTTGCGGGGGGGGGTGTATTTGGACCCTGACCTTGAATTCTGGACGATTGTTTTCGACCCAATTCCATGGTCTTAGTTCTTTCTTTTTTTTTTATTCCTTATTTTCCCTTGGGCATTGATTTGCTCAATTACAAGCCAAAATACCTAAGGTCTTTTCAAACGATTATAACTACTTATATATATATATATATATATATATATATATATATATATATATAGCATAATAGAATATATATATATATTTATATATATATATATATATATAGAAAAGTTTCAAATTAAAATTATAATGTTTTATTTTTGAAAGTATTTATTTATTTATATATATATTTGATATTTCAAATTGTCCTCAATTTTCATCAGAAAATATATATATATATATATATATATATATATATATATATATATATATATATATATATATATATATATATATAGATAGAGAGATAGAGAGAACATTTTTTTTTTTGTAGACAGAAATAATTTCCAATAACCAAAACTATTTTTTTTGATTGCTCAATACAGAGTAGAGCAAATATAAATTTATTAAAAAATTATAATATGATAACATCACTAGAAATAATAGCCATTTTTTTCAATAATTGCAAAAGTCTTTACAAGACATTCCATGCCATCCTTGTCACACTCTCTTTTGCAAAAACAGTTATATATTATATATATATATATATATATATATATATATATATATATATATATATATATATATATATAATATAAATATATATATATATATATATATATATATATATAATATATATATATATATGATATATATATTAAATATTTATATATATCCTTACTCTGTCCTGGACATTGAGTTCTACCTGGATTCAATCTTCTTGGAATTTTTAATCAAAAAATATACATGTATGAGTATGTACCTATGTATATATATGTTTATATATTTTGCATATGTATGTGTATATTTACCACTAATATTATCTATCTATCTATCTACATATATATATATATATATATATATATATATAGAAATGAGAATGAGTTGAATATAAATTCCAACGTTCGTAGCATTAATTTAAAAGAGGGCTCGATACGAAAAGTAGAGCAAAATTCTTCATTTTAGGATATTACATCAACAGGTTAATAAACGCTAAATAATTGCAATCATGTTTCGATGTGCACTAACACATTTCATCATGGACGCCTAATGAGATGTGTAGTTAAACGAAAGAAAAAAGAAAGAAAGTGATCAGAAATTAAGAAGAAAACGAAAAAATGGAAGAAAAAAAGAACCCAAAATATGAGGAAAATGAAGAATTAAATAAAAAAGGAAATTAATAAGAAAAGAAAGGGAAAATAAAAATGTCGATTAACCACAAGAAGGAAAAAGGGATATATCTAAATGTTTCAACAAGTATGGAGTTAAATTAAAAAGATACAAAAATAACAATATGTGAAATTAAGCAAGGAAGAAAGAAACAATGAAAGAAAAGGAAACGAATGAATGTATGAATGAATGAAAAATGGGTGGAAGAAAAAATAAAATAAAAATAAAAAGACACATAATTAAGAAAGAACGAAAGATAACTTTTAGCGAAGAAAGTAAGAAGAAATAAAAGAAAGAATGAATGAAAACAAGAAAAAATAAATGAATGAATGAAAAAAAAAACGAATGAAATAACGAATAAATGGAAAAAGAACGGTGTGAAAAAGAGAAAAAAACAAAGTTAAAGAAAATGTAATTAAAAACAAAACAAAAAAGTTTTTAGAGAAGAAATGAAGAAGAAATAAAAGAAAGGAAGACTGAAAAAAGAAATAAAAACGAATAAAATAATAAAAAAAGCATGGAGGGGAAATAAAAAAAAATGTAAAGAAAAAATATACATATTTATAAAGAGAAAAATAAATATCTAAAATATATATATTATATATACAATCAACAATAAATCTATCTTTTCAGGAAAAATAAATAAAAAATATATATAATAAAATATATATATATATATATAAATATATATATATGTATATATATGTCTCTATCTATATCTATTTAGAGAACTGTTTCTCTCTCTATCCATCTATCTATCCACACACACACACACACACACACACACTTTAAATATATATATATGCGTCATATAGATGTTATCTGTTTGAAAATCTCTTTAATATATATATATAAAAATATATCATAAATATCTATCTATCTATCTATCTATCTATATATATATATATATATATATATCCTGTCTCCAAATTATATATTTTTTCACATATCTATATCATTATATATATATATATATATATATATGAGAGAGAAGGCAAGTAGAGTGAGAACGAAAAATGAATGCGAATATCTAATTTAAATCAAAAAACTAAAAAGATGGAAGTACAGAAAAAGAAATGCATAAAAAAGAAGGTAAAAAAGAAACATGCAGAAGAAAAATATAGGAAAAAATTAAAGAAGAATGAAAAAAGAAAAAAATTGGAAAAATACGAAAGTAAGAGAAAGAAAAAATAGGAGAAAATTATTGAAGCAAATTAAAAAGTAAAAATAGGAAAAATATGAAAGTAAGAGTAAGAAAAATAGAAAAAGAAATCGCGAAGAAAAAAATATCAAAAAATTATGAAAGAGAAATGTAAAAAGTAGAAGAAAAAAAGCGTTAAGAAAAAAGAAAGAATAGGAAAAGATGAAAGTAAGAAAAATAAAATATGAGAAAAATCTTGAAGAAAAAAATGAAGAAGAAAAACAGAAAAATATGAAAGTGAAAGAAAAAGTAGGAGAAAAAATTGTGTGGCAAACTGAAAAAGAAAAATATGAATTTAAGAGAAAGAGCAAAATCGGAAAGAAAATCCTGAATAAAAAATAAAAAAAAAAAAAAAAAATACGAAAAACAGGAAAGTAAGAGAACGAAAAAATAGGTGAAAAACTCGTGAAGGAAAAAATGAAAAAGAAAAAAATAGGAAAAATATAAAAGAAAGAGAAATGAAAAAATAGGAGAAAAAACTGCGAAAAAAAAATGGAAAAGGAAAGAAATAGGAAAAATTTGAAAGAAAGATAAAGAAGAAAATAGAAGAAGAAATCGTGAAAAAAAATAGGAAAAATTTGAAATTAAGAAAACGAAAAAAATAGGAGAAAAAAAAAGTGAAGAAAAATGAAAAAGAACAAATAGGAAAAACATGAAAGTAAGAGAAACAACAAAATAGGATAAAAAATCGTGAAGAATCAAGAAAAAATATCAAAAAAAAAAATGAAACAGAAAGAAAAAATGGAAGAAAAAATCTTGAAGAAAAAATTATAAAAGTAAAAAAAAAAAAATAAAGTAATAGAAAAAGAATAAGAAAAATTTCAATGAAAATTCAAAAGAAGGACAAACAAAAGAATAAGTAAAGAAGACAAATGAATTAGAACTAAAATGGCGATAGAGAAGGCACGGTGGAGTAATGGGTAGCAGCTCAGATTGAGGAATCGAAGATCTGAGTTCGAATTCCACTCGAATCCATTACATTCACTTACGTGCTAATAACCTTGGGAAAGGTATGAATCCTCTTCTTCTCCATCCAGCTGTGGGTAAATAGCAGGACAGACCGGGTTCTATAGCCTTGAATGGTCTACCGCAAAAAGAAATGGCAACCCACAGCGGGAAAAAAAAACCTACCTGGTCAGTCGTATATCATGCATGGCACATAACCAACTGTATTCGATAGCGAAAACGAGATGAAAAAATGCTTATAAATGAAAGAAAAAAAGACCACCTAACAGAAGCATTGGAAGAAAAACCTGAAGAAAAAAAAACACAAAGGAAGAAATAATGGAAGAGAACAAAAGAAGAAAAAAACGTAGAATTCTATAGAATGAGTAAAAGCTATACAATGGCAAAGAATGAATATGAATAGGGAATATTTAATGAAGGATGCATAGCATGTGTATTTGTTTATATATTTATTTTGTTTTGTTTGCTTATATATTTATTTGTTTATTTATTTTGTTTGTTTATTTATTTATTTATTTGTTGTTTTGTGTATTTTTGCTGGTCTTTGATAAAACTGGGTTGCAGCCCGTAAGAAATTTCGACAAAGAAATATCAGTAATTATCGAAGCGAAGATGTAAATGAAACGAAGCGAGTGATCAATACAAATGTAATTTCCTGGTATATCAACATCGACAAGGGTCAAATACAGCCAGTTGATTATACTGGATTTCGCATTTATTGGGGTGGGGGGCTGTGATATTCAGTGTCTGGGTTTGACAAGTATTTTGGATATTTTTCAAGACAAAAAAGAAAAAAAAGAAAAAAAGAAAGGAAATAAGTCTTAGGGAGAGAGGAACAGTTTTCGAAAGAACAAGTAAAATAACCAAACAGAAAGAAAGAAAAACGAAAGAAAGAAAGAAAGAAAGAAAGAAAGAAAGAAAGAAAGAAAGTGAGGATGTAATAATGAAGGTAAGAGAAAACAAAAAGATGAAGAAAGCAAAAAGAAAGAAAGAAAGAAATAGAGAGAGAGAGAGAGAAAGTGAGGATGTAATAATGAAGGTAAGAGAAAACAAAAAGATGAAGAAAGAAAGAAAAAAGAAAAAAAAAAGAAAAGAAAAAAAGAGAGATGAAAGAGGAAAAAATAATGAAGGTAAGAAAAAAAAAAGATGAAAAAAAAGAAAGAAAGAAAGAAAAAAGAAAAAAAAAAAAAGAGAGAGAGAAAGTGAGGATGTAATAATGAAGGTAAGAGAAAACAAAAAGATGAAAAAAAGAAAGAAAGAAAGAAAGAAAGAAAGAAAGAAAGAAAAACGAAAGAAAGAAAGAGAGAGAGAGAAAGTGAGGATGTAATAATGAAGGTAAGAGAAAACAAAAAGATGAAGAAAGAAAGAAAGAAAGAAAGAAAGAAAGAAATAAAGAAAGAAAGAAAAAAGAAAGAAAGGAAGGAAAGAAGAAAGAAAGAAAAAAGAGAGCGAGAAAGTGAGGATGTAATAATGAAGGTAAGAGAAAACAAAAATGTGAAGAAAGAAAGAAAGAAAGAAAGAAAGAAAGAAATGATGCAAGAAAGAACTCAAAAAGAAAGAGATTAAAAGCAAACAGTAGAACGGAAGGAAAGAATGAAAGAGAGAGACTGAGGATGTGATAATGAAAGCGAGAGAAAAAAAAAGAAAGAAAGAAAACAAAAAGAAAGAAAGAAAGAAAACACCGAAAGAAAGACATTAAAATCAAATAGAGTCTAACGGAATCAATGAATAAAATATGAACAAAAAGAAAGAAAGAAAGAGGTTGATGATGTAATATTGAAAGCGAGAGAAAACAAGAAGATGAAAGAAAGAAAAAAAGAAAAAAAGAAAGAAAGAAAGAAAGAAAGAAAGGTAAAAATCGTGTGGAATAAAAAGAACGAAAGAAAGAAAGAAAGGTAAACATCGTGTGGAATAGAAAGAAAGAAAGAAAGAAAGAAAGAAAGAAAGAAAGAAAGAAAGAAAGAAAAGTAAACATCGTGTGGAATAGAAAGAAAGAAAGAAAGAAAGAAAGAAAGAAAGAAAGAAAGAAAGAAAGATATCTGGTCTGGTGTGTCTGCTGTACATCTCAAGATTCTTGACAAAATCCAATGTAATCATTCTTGACAAGGCCTCTTGTCTTCAGTCACTTTCTCACCGGCATAACGTCGCTTCATTTTGTCTTTTCTACAAATATTTTCTTGGCAACTGCTCCAACCAGCGTCCTCCCTCCCCCCCGGTGACTTGACTACATGAATTTAAGCGTACGACAAGGAAAGTTTTTCTCATTTTACACATTTATAAATCTACCATTTGTCCGTGCATTAAATACTGCTACCATATCTGGTCTGGTGCTTCTGCTGTACATCTCAAGATTCTTGACAAAATCCAAAGAAGAATCTGCAATGTAATCGGTCCTGACCTGGCATCTCAACTTAATTCGCTTTCTCGTGGGCCTTGATGTGGCTTCTTTCTGTCTTTTCTAAAAACAACTATTTTCATGGCAACTGTCCTGATGATATATCTTCCTTTTTGCCCCTACACGAATTTAAGCGTGCTATAGATTGGCATATAGGTCCTACATTTTACTACTGAAATAGTCAAATGCAACCGCCACTTATACGCCAAATGTTTCTTTTCTCGCACTTCCCTACAGTGGAACTCCCTTCCTCTTACTTGCTTCTCTGATAACTACAATTTTCAAAAATTTAAATGCAATGTCAATCGCCATCTTTTGTTGCCTTGATTCCCGTTCCTCGTTTATCATTTCTTCAGTCGCCTCTATGCACTGACATTTCTCTCACTTTCACTTTTTGTAACATTTGTTTGCTATAATGCAATAATTTAAAGTATATAGATAGATATTAGCAGATTGTGATAGATAGATAGATATGAACAGATTGACATGTAATCTTGCATGCATTAATTTAAACTCTAGATAGACAGATAGATAAATAGATACGAAAAGAATGAGATAGATAGATAGATAGATAGATAGATAGATAGATAGATAGATAGATAGATAGATATGAACAGATTGACATGTAATCTTGCATGCATTAATTTAAACTCTAGATAGACAGATAGATAAATAGATACGAAAAGAATGAGATAGATAGATAGATAGATAGATAGATAGATAGATAGATATGAACAGATTGACATGTAATCTTGCATGCATTAATTTAAACTCTAGATAGACAGATAGATAAATAGATACGAAAAGAATGAGATAGATAGATAGATAGATAGATAGATATGAACAGAGTGACATGTAATCTTGCATGTAATAATTTAAGCGATAGATAGACAGATAGATATGAAAAGAATGAGATAGATAGATAGATAGATAGATAGATAGATAGATAGATAGATAGATAGATAGACTGACGTAATTTTGTCTGCATTAATTCAAACTCATCTTAATCACTGTTACTAATTGCATTCTACGTATGCTCCTATCTGATTGTTCAAAGGAACCTTAAAACGTAACTAGAAGCGATTTCCTTGGAAAATGGACAGAATGTTGGCACCGTTGTCTTGTCAAATACCTGCAGAGAATTTTGTAGTTGACTCAAGTGCTCGACGTTTTGCGTCAGACATTCCAGCGAAAAACATGGATCGTGTTTAGCACATGTTGATGGATGACAGGCGACTGAGTTAAATAGCAAATGCGACTAGCATAACACGCAAAAGAGTTGTCTATCTTGAAAAGGGCCACACCATCAGTAGAGAGTGCTCTGCCAACATATCTAGGCTGATACGGAGGACTATCTAGATCGAACACTCAGGAAATCTGACGGAAATGGTGTTGTTTGATCAGGAGGAAACTCCGTCATATTGTTCCATGATTTCAATGGCTGCTGTGCTTTGAACTGGTTGATCACCTTACTTATTCACTTGATTTGCAAGATTTCCCAGCTCTAACAAATGTCAGTTAAACCTCGGATCTATCTATCTATCTATCTATCTATCTATCTATCTATCTATCTATCTATCTATCTATCCCAGTTTCTTCATATCTATCTATATAGCTATTATTTATTCATTAATAAAAAAAAATTTTAAAAAAAGGAATTTGGCGCGAATAGTTACATGAAGACGCAAAGAAGTGATAATCAAAATTGATGAAACCGTCATAGCATAAAAAACAAAATCTTTGACTATGGCTAATGAAAGCGGGAAGTACATTGACATTGGTCAATTTTTATTTAAATTTGTACCGGAAAAGAGGAAAATGTTACAAAACAGAAAAGAAATTTAAACAACCCTTAAAGAAAACCAAATTGCTTAAATTAAAAAAAAAAACAATCAGCCCAAATTCATCTATCTATCTATCTATCTATCTATCTATCTATCTATCTATCTATCTATCTATATTGATCTACAGATAGATAGATATGAACAGATTTAGCAAGAAAGCTATATAAATAGATATGAAGAAACTGGGATAGATAGATAGATAGATAGATAGATATGAACAGATTAAGCTAGCTAGCCAGTCAGCTATCCAACTAGCTAGATAGATAGATATGAAGAAATGGGAATAGATAGATAGATAGATAGATAGATAGATAGATAGATAGATAGATAGATAGATAGAGAGAGATAGAGATAGATATGAACAGATTAAGCTAGCTATCCAGCGAGCCATCCAGCCAGCTATCCAGGAAGCTAGCTAGCTAGATAGATATATAGATATGAATAAATAGATAGATAGATAGATAGATAGATAGATAGATAGATAGATAGATAGATAAATAGATAGATAGATAGATATGAACAAACCGATTGTTACACTTGTATAATAAACAGAGAGAGATAGAGAGATAGATAGAAACAGACTGAGATAGATAGGTAGATAGATAGATAGATAGATAGATAGACAGAAACAGACTGAGATAGATAGATAGATAGATAGATAGATAGATAGATAGATAGATAGATAGATAGATAGATAGATAGATAGATGTGAACAGATGGAGATATGTCAGTATGCATGCATACTGTCTGGAAAAGTAAAATTTCTCGTATAAATACTCAAGCAATCATTGGCTCCATGTTCTGAAATATATGCAGATATTCACAATTATCCAAACCTCTCAATTACAGCATCATACAAAAAATTCCCATTAAGAAATGTCTTTTACATTTAGAGAGCTCCACAACAAAGGACGAAAACTCGGCAAAGGACGTAAATCTCTTTTAATGGGCCTACGTTGGAAGCAAATATGATAGGCAGTTGACGGAATTGCGAGTCGGGGTCCAATATCCGACACATTTCGGATATTTCTTTCTTCTGTAGATCAATCGATTTATTGGCTGTTATATTGATCGATGATCGATTTGTTAGTCTAACGTTAACCTTTGTTAATAGCTTGAACCTCGCTCACCTTACCACTTGGCTTTCTTTTTGAAATGCTGTCCTCTCCACACATAAAGACCAGATGGAATGTTCCCTTCGATACGACGATAGTGGGGGACCGAGATTTGTGAAGTTTGCCATTCTTTCGTTGTTATATATGGATATGAATGGAGTGAACTAAGAAATTTAATATATTATGCAAACAATAAACAAATCCGTAATTTACAAAATAAATTAAATGCGTTAGGTTCGATTCCTGTTGGAGGACGCATATTCTCTATGACAATTTCTCGGACCTTCAGGCCGGTAAATGTTTATCACTGTTTATTATAAAGAGAGCATTTACTTAAATATTTGTATCTGTAAAAAGAATGTATAAACATAAAAAACTGTCTTCAAATAATTGTCGGACTTTGTCCATTTCATAATGTGTGACGTCATTTGTTTACATTTCGATACGCTTTGAGTAGATATGAAAGTACACGAGAGAATCATGGAAGATTGTAGTTTAAAGACAGTAAAATCGACCTTTCTAACCGAACGATCCTCAGTGGCCAAGTGAGTTAAAGCACGTCAGGCTATATGACGGTTCCGTATAGGATAGAGGATAGATTCCTGTCGTAGGACGAATATTTTCCATGAAAATTTCTCGGATATTCATGCCAGTAAATGCTATTAATACTGTTTATTATAAACAGAGCATTTACTGAAATATTTGTATCTATAAAAAGAACGTATAAACAGAAAAATATCTGAAAAAAAATTCGAACTTTGTTCATTTCATAATGTGTGACGTCATTTGTTTACATTTGGATACGCATTGAGCAGAGAATCATGGAAGATTGTAGTTTAAAAGCAGTAAAATCGACCTTACTAACAGAACGCTCCTCTGTGGCTCAATCGGTTACGGCACGTCAGGTTATATGACGGTTCCGTATAGGATATGGGTTCGATTCCTGTCGGAGGACGTATATTTTCCTTGAAAATTTCTCGGACATTCAGGCCGGTAAATGTTATTAATACTGTTTATTATGAAACAGAGCATTTACTGAAATATTTTTATCTATAAAAAGAATGTATAAACATAAAAATGTCTTAAAATAATTGTCGGACTTTGTTCATTTCAAAATATGCATTCGTTTCTAAATGCAAATCGTCTAAAGTCGTCAGAAAAAGACTTAATTGCAAATTCATCCAAATTTAAATTATCTGATATTTTTTTTAATCGTTATCATCCCATTACATCAATTAGGACGTAAGAGGTTACAGGGTGAGGAGAAATTAAGAACAAAAACATGAGTAATGAAGCAAATGAAAAGAGCAGGCAAGAGATCGGTATATAGCGATTGATATTGCATTTAAATTTTTGCAGATTAAAATTGCTTGGAAAGTATGGCGGGAGTTCCACGAGCGATAAGTGTGGGATAAGAAACTGTTTGAATAGAAGTTACGGCTACATCTAGCTAGCTCAACTGTAAAATGATGAAATCTCGCCGCCTGTCTAGTATTGCGCTTAAATTAAAAAAAAACAAAACAAAAGAAACAACAAAAAAATATCCTAGCAATTACAGTATTAAAGTATTTCTAAAAAGTCGCAGAAATGCAGCCTTACGGTGGTGGACAAGTGAGTGAAGCCGAGCGGCCAGGTCAGGACCAATAATATCACGGATTCTTCTTTGGATTTTATATCAAGGGTTGCCAGGAAAATAGCAAAAGCACCGGAAAATAT